ATACACGGAGACTTCTTCTTACTTTTGAATACCTGGCCTTAGCCTGGCTTGTTTCTAGTCAGTGTTTCTAACCTAAATTATCTTATTTATCTTTCACTAAGTTTTGCCTCTGGGTTTTTTTCACCTTTCTCTATCCTATATATCTTTCTTTCCTTCTTACTCCATGGCTGGCTGGGTGGCTGGGTGGCTGGGTGGCTGGGTGGCTGGGTGGCTGGGTGGCTGGGTGGCTGGGTGGCTGGCTGTGTGGCTGTGTGGCTGTGTGGCTGTGTGGCTGGGTGGCTGGGTGGCTGGGTGGCTGGCCCCTGGCGTCCTCCTCTCCTTCTTTTTTCCACTCTTCCTCTCCTCCCTAGAGTCCTCCTCCTATCTATTCTCTCTGCATGGCAGCCCCATCTAGCCCTCTCCCGCCTAGCTATTGACCATCCATCTCTTTGTTAGACCAATCAGATGTTTGAGACCGGCAAAGAAGTAACACAGCTTCACAGAGTTAAACCAATGCAACGTGAAAAAAATGCAACACATCTTTGCATCATTAAACAAATATGCCACAGCACAAACACATGCAACACCACATCCTAAACTAAGATCCCACAGCAGAGCCCTTCGCAGGTTCATTCTGAGGTAGACCTTTTCTCCTCTCAGAGCTCCACCCTGTCTTTCTCTTCTAAGACATTTGACCTTTGACCTCCCAGTAACTTGTACCAAACTGATCACTGGGCCGAACTGACCATTCCTTCCCCCAAGCCCTCCTTCCCAGACTCCCTGCCTCCTCTTTTGTAAGCTGCGGTGCCCTCGTGGCTGCTCTTTTGCCTCCTGCTATCCTATCTGGCCTCTCCCTTCCACCTCTGGAACCCCAAGTCTCAGACCCTAGCTAGTACTCCTCTCCCACCTCTTATTCATCAGATCTACGTTCTCACGTGATCTCCACTCTCCCCTAATTTTCTTTGCCAAGGAACCGAACACTTCCTAACCAACCCTAACATTCACATACATACCATACTTATGGTTTGACATTCCCCCTCACCTAACCCTACCTCCAACCAGGATGTAAATGCTTCAAGAAGATCCGTATTGGCAGAGCCAAAGCACCTAGAAGAGTGACTGACAGATACATAGTATCTAATTAATAAAGTCTTAGTAGGTGGTTTTTAAAATGTGATTTTCTTACATGCAAAAGTTCAAGAGCCACACTCAGGTCAGCAATTATCTTAACCAGGCCCTCCTGTGAGGCTACCCCCCACCCTTTCCAGCACCAGATCCTGGTCTCATCAGCAAATACATTGCTGTGATGAGTCCCACTGGATGATGACTACTGCTACTCAATAGCAAAGAAATGAAATAACCTCTCAAAAGGTCTTCTTTCACAGATGGGTATGGAGCAGACCAAGACACCTTTCACCTTTCAAAATATGTCCAACACTCTCTGGGAGAACCAGTTTTGCAAAAACAGTGTGTTGCACAATGCACAGAATTCTCCCATACTCAAGGTGTGGCTACACACTCACAGGCAGCCTTTTCACAAACCATAGGGGTAGGGCAGAAAAAGTCCAAACTAGGGGTACAGAGATCCACGACACCTGCAGGACTGTTAACCTATTTCATGTCTGCTTCCTGGGAGCTCTTTAAAGTCAAACAGTGTTTCTTTGGGGGACTACTTTTTATTTCCATAAATTAATTTGTTTTTAAAAAGACATTCTTAAGCGTTTCCATTTTAGCTAGTGAGAAATCTATGCTAAGTAGATAAAATTAAACTTAAAAGTCTTTGGGAGCTGGTGTGGAGAGCTCAGTGGTACACACTTATGATCAAGGACTTGGGAACTATTTGTACCAAATATGAACTATTTGTACCAAACACTCTTAAAGCGCCAGGAAAACACCCACCAACTTCCTTAGGACCCGGAGAGACAGTGCTTATAAAATTGTCTCTGAAGCCAGGATGTCCCAACTAAAAGCTATGCCTCTCTAACTTAATGCTTATGTCTCTTCATTATCCACTTTCTTCATTTGCAAGCTGAGGATCACAGCCTATCTTTCTCCTGATTCTTAGTTGAAATAAAGGAACTCATAGGAAAAGACAAACGGAGCAGATCAGCCCTGGTTTCCCTTCATCTTGCCCTACTATGCTGCTGAGGTTGCTCTCTTCAGGTACTGGCTTCACTTTTTAAGCCCAGGACAAACCGACTCAGGGACCTCCCTCGGAATCAAGCCTGTAGATCAAAAACCTGGGGGCTTTCGTTAATTAGCATATGCAAAGTTGGGCGTGGCCTTCGATTCAGCTCAAGTGACCCAGCTGCCAAATCCACCTTTCCTTGAGTTCCTGCACCTACAATAGCTGAAGGTACTTGATGTCCCGGCAAGTGAGCAACACCTGCTTCCATAGGTAAGACCTTCCCAGGAGTATAATTATTAAAGAAACTCCAGGAACCCGGGTCACCTGCTTCTCTCTGCTCTCGGTTGGAGGAGGGGTGGAGGTGGGAGACTGGGGGGGGGGGGGGGGGGGGGGGAGCGTGTGCCTTACGCATGCACCAGCCTGCAGACCCACCGGCTTCCACTTCTGGGGCCTTCGGTGATCTTCAGCATTCCTTGCTTGCTGGAACCCACCCAAGTTGTTCTAGCCAGGATTCCTGTACAGCCCTCTGCAAGAGTAGATTAAATAAAAAACCATCCTCGTCTAGTGCCAGCAGCTGCCATGGTCACACCCGGCTTCCTAGGTTTTCACCAGAAGCAATTTTAGCGCAGAATGCCAAATGCCAAGCCAAAAAAATGAAAAGTTCCTTCCAAGGGAGGAAAGGAAAGGCTGACTTTGAAATTAAAAGAACCAAGACTGTTGAGAACTATTTTAATAGAAACGAAAACAAAACCATGTATCTATCAGGAGAGTGCCCTTGCGGTAAGGAAATGTTTTCTGGAATTGGAAAGAGCCCTGATTCTACCAGGATCAACACACACACACACACACACACACACACACACACACACACACACTGCCGTCTCCTAAGGCAAACCGCATTTTTGTATTAAACATACATTTTAAATAGACCTAGACATTAACTAATTTCCCAAATATGTTTTTCTTCGTGTCGCCTCAGAAGTAGCAGAAATGGAAAACGTACCAACTTTGTTTAGTCAGTTTTGCTAATGGAGCAAATTCTGTAATGGAAAATGCAACTCGAAAATTCAAGGATGTCGAAGGACGACAGTTGAGCAATTGAGTTTAATGGTCCAAAAGGGTTCTAGAACGGACACTTCATTGGGCTGGGCAGAGAGGTGGATTTATACAAAGAGTGAAGACTGTACAAGTCATTTCAGGGTACCTGTCTTTACATGGGGGTGACAGGGGCAGAAGAATGGGGAAATAAGTGACAAGTTAACTGTAGGTGGCTACTTTTCTGTAAGAATTAACTCAGAAGGAACTTCATTATTGAGCCAACAGCTTAGCTACACCATAGTAACACAGGACTTTGGCATTGAATGGCTCTTAATTTTTAGCCAGTCTGTGAAGGCCTAGCACTGGCACTTCGTAAGAAAACAATGGCCTTCTGTAATTTTTTATCTAACAGGCATAAACAGTTAAAGAGGAATTTATTATTCTGCCCCCACCCCCGCCCCACTCCCTAGCCATGAACATAAAGTTTTCTGCTCTTTACCTGTTTGAAATCTTTCCCTAAGCTGTGAGAACCCAGAACCACCAGTTCTGGGTAGAGTCTGTAATGTGCGCTTGCAGGAGAAGAAATGAGTCATAGTCTTAGCTGTCACGTGCCAACATCTGGATGGAATAATTCCACAACAAGTGATATCACCTGAGCCATCCCCCAGACCTGGTCTTCTGTATTTTAAGAGAAGTTATACACATGACAAGCAAAGCCAGAGCCAGGAGGAACATAGAGGTTCAGATTTCAAAGTCAAGGTCTGTCCACTGCCCCACACTGCCACTGCAGACTCAAACCTAATGAAGAAGGAGTAAAAGAAAGAGAAAATAAAAGCCCTAGCTCGGGAGAGTTTGCGGTTAAGACAGACTAGACTGTTTAACAACTGCCAGTGAGTCTTTCTGTGTCAAGAATAAATAAATAAAGATAAAGGTGCTAATGATCTTAAGTCACTAGGGAGGACACTAGTAATGGAAAGAGATTCCGAAGAATGGGTACATTCATGAAACGGGGACATTGAATATTGATTAAGGAAACATAGATTGAGATAACTGAAACTAATTTCTATGAGAGAAGAATATTGTCCCTTCCCTAGGTAAAGGGTCTTCGCATACCTATAGACAAGAATTTGTTTTTCACCAAGTTACCAGTTACTACAATACAGAGCTATAAAATAGAAAGACCGATCTATCCTTTTTTTCCACTCTCATTGCATGCCTCTGTCAGGTGCTCACCCTTCCACGTCCACAGCAGGGATTTTATTGGTTGACTTTCTGGCTAAACTGCTCATTACTTTTATAGCTTTGCTAATCAGATGTCTCCCTAGAGTTAAGCCAAGCCATAGACAGGCAGAGAATAAGCATACCGGGGGAGATGCCAGACCCAAATAAAAAGAGAAATAGCATATATGATAAAATAGAGGCTGAAGCACATTCTTTGAGTATCACGTGTGCTTTGACAGTGCCGTTGACCCAAGGTGAACCATTCTGTCCTGTTTATTGGATATCTGGGCCCGGTTCACACCTTTTGAATCTGTGCGGCATGCTTCTTCCCACAGCTAAGGTTGGGAGTGGGCATGAAGGTTTACCAGTGAACTGGAGCCTCCTTCCTAGTCTTCCCAGTGCTTAAGTCACTGAGGACTGTGTTCTAGAGAAACCAGATTACTTTCATAATACCATTCAGAGCAAAGTGGATGTTGTTTGGAATGTGTAGACCTTTCTAATCGTTTGTGTTTCAGGAAGCTCTGAGCCTAGGGGCTTGGTTTATTTACCAGGATGCCAAAAGAGGGTGGAGGGATGTGGGCTCTGGAACAGTCAGCCTTCCGGAAGGGGCCAGGGTCATTGCCCTGGCAGATTGGTTCTTAAGGAACGCCTTCCTCCCGAGCTAAAGGGACATGCAGCTGGCTGTGCTTCGCAGCAGCTCGGAGGAGTGGAAGTGAGTCTAAGGCAGGAAGCCAGCCCCCAACTCAGGACGCTGAAGAAAGAGGTACTTGATCTATATGAATTACTCTGAAGGGGCCAAATACAGGCTAGTTCATTTGTCCTAGATTTGGCTTTCCCTGCTATTTCTACTCTAAATTTTCTGGGATAAGCCCAAACTCAGAGATCGTGTTCAGTTTTCCATTCATCTAGGAGCCCCGCCCTCAAGTGAATTGGAATTACTGCAGTCTCTGTACCTGTAAGGAAAACTGAGGGCCACTATAAAACACTTCGGAGGAGGGTGGGGGAGGCTGCTTTTCATCATATTGAGGTGTAACTTACTTTCAAGACAGAGAACAGATTTAAGTTTGTGTGTTAGTAATTAAACCCCTACTTATAATTAGCTCATTAAGATATTTAATAACCCAGACAGTGTCCTCTTGTGGCCACTCCCACTTCCCAGCTCCCCCACCTCAGAGTTCTGGTTTCAGTCAACATGAAGTACTATAGTTTTGCCTGCTTAGGGACAAGGGATAAATGGATAAATTTCTCAACATTACTTTTTGTGCCGGGATTCCTTTATGGAACATAGTGTTTGAGGTTAATTTACTTTTGTTCCTTATACATATGAATCTTTGTTCAGGTATGGCCTCCCTATGCTAAGATGTACCTTAAGATGTACCGTACTGTGTACATTTGGATAAAAACCTACAGCCATCACCACAGCCACGCTGTAGAGAGAGCATTCTTTTCACTACACAAATCTCCACATTCTCTGTTGCTCTTGTTCCATCCTCTAACCCCATGCAAGGCAGCCCCTAATCTATTCCTTGTCTCCTTAGGCCAGTCTTGCTTACCTAAGACTCTGTGTAGGGGGGAGGATGGGGATCTTCTGGAATAGCGCAATGATTTACTATTCACCCTAGTCTTGCAATAGTGTGGTCCTTTTAACCGCCGGTTGCTATTGGTTGATAAGAATACGGTGCTGCGTATTCATTTCCCCATTTAACAGACACCCCGGTTGCTTCTCACTTTTCGCCACATCATGAAAACATGAACTCTCTTGGACAGCTTGCCAAATGGTGTTCAAAAGAGCTGGCAGTGTTTTGCACTTCTGCAAAGCAACGTATACACATTCATTAACTTGAAAGGCTTCCCAGCATTCGGTATGTTGCCTATCAGTTTTCACTTAGCCCTCCCAGCGATTGTAAGTCATCATTGGCAGTTTTGAAGTATGGTTTCTGAGAACTTCTGAGGGGTATCTCTCTGTACTTCCAGACAGACACATTTTTGTAACGCGTTCAGATCTCCTGCTCATCTTTTATCCCTGGGCTACAGGAATTTATTACACATTTGGGGTGGTATTCCTCTGGCAGACACTGGGCTTATGGCTGTTTTCTCTTGGCTCTATAGCTTCCCTTCCCAATTTTTGAACAGTATCTCTCAATAAGCAAATATTTGTGGGTTTCGCTTTTTATAAAATTCTATTTCTCTCCTTTTTTTTTCTTTCTTTCAAGGTTAGTCTTTTTTGTCATTTCTTTGAAATATTTGCCAGTTCCTTGGTCTCAAAGATCTGTTTTCCTCTTGGCAGTCAGTGATAGTGTTACACTTTATATATCAAATTGGTTTTTACATACAGGGCATTGCATACAGTGAAAGGCATTTTTTAATCTGTCCATTCACAGCCAACTACCATACAGTTGCTTAGGTAGAAATGGGTGGATTCATGTCCCATTCCTGGGTTTGCATCCCAGGAATAGACTTTGGCAGTAGCCTGGCATCCTTGGTCTGTGCCTCCTCCACCAGATCTGCCTTGATTAATGTCCAAGCAGGCCTTTGTGGTTTTGACTATTCCATTCAAAGTTAAATTCTCCCCATTTTAGGAATAAGTAGAGGGAAAAACATATTTAGCTTTTATGATCTGATATCGGTTCAAAGTAGCTATTTCAATTTTTTGCTAATCAGACTTCTAGTTTGCTTCTGTCCGTTGATGGAATTGATGGGTATTGTTGAAAGCCTAGGAGATGGGATTTTTTAGAAAATGCAACTAGTACAAAAGAAAATATGCATTACTCCATCATAGTTCCACTTCCTACCATTCTTGGGAATTCCAGAGTGGTAGGAGTGTTTGGGTTTGTTTGTTTGTTTGTTTGTTTTTGTTTTCATCTCAGAGCCTTTTGTTGACACTACAGTTTATGCTAATGGTTTTATCCTAAAGTGGGTTCCCTTAGATGACCTCAGTGTAGTGCCAGTCACTGGGGAGATCGAGGGATTAAGGCTTAGAGGGCTGAAGCTTGCAGTATCTCCTAACCTCATCCTAGCTGTCATCGAACTACCATCAATAACCTTTGTAATGTTCCCTCATAATCCGCCAGTAAACATATTTTCCTGAGCTCTGTAAGCCATCTATGAGGGGAGAATTGGAACCCCAGTGTGTGTGTGTGTGTGTGTGTGTGTGTGTGTGTGTGTGTGTGTGTGTGTTTTCATATAAACAGTATATGAAATTTCTTCTGTGTGCCAGCGTGACAAGGGTTTGATTCACCAGTCATGGCAGGGGTGAGTCCAGGCTAATTGAAGGAAGAGCAGTGGAATCAGGAAGCGACTTCTAGCTTTCCCTTGTAACCACCCCCACCCCTGCATGGGATCCTGACAAGGAAGTGGAGCTTTCTGCTTCTGATTTCTGAAAGAAGAAAGACCTTGCCTGACAGGATGTCATGGAATTGAGATGTCAAATGAACTTATCTTGAAGCCAGTATGAAAACAGAGAGCTTCAACTATTATTTCCTGCTTTTTAGGAAAGGACATTTTTAGGCAGTGGTTAAAAGGGATCGATAACATGGTAACGATTTGAAGAATACAACGTCAAACTCTGATACCAAGGACAGCCAGCATGTAAGAGGCGGCATTAAAAGACATTTTCTCAAAGTACCAAAAAAAAAAAAAAAAAAAAAACCATGAGAAGCCTTCCACCCAAACATGATTACTGTCAAAACACAAGTAAATCTTACATCTTAGAAGAGATAAAGTTAGGGGTTGGTTGGTTGGTTTTTAATGAAGTAGGATTAGATGTACTAGCAAGGGAATTGTCGGGGTTTTTTTTGTTGTTGTTGTTTTGTTTTGTTTTGTATTTGGAAAGCTACAATGTTTCACACATCTAGGAGCAGAAACCAGTAAAATACAGGGACTGTGTGTAGGAATGTGGAAATGGACCCAAACTAGAGAGTCTGGGGACAGAATGGTGCTGATAGGTCCAAGTAATTCAGCTGTTGCTTTTTGCTCAAGATGAAAATTAGTGCTATTCTCAGCCCAGCAAAAGGAGAAAAGAACGACGTTGACGGTAACTTAGGTGGTCACTTTTGTGGTGAACATGTTGGTGGACTCTTTCAAGGTCACAAGTGCAGCCTTGTGTGAGCCCAACAGTGCAAGGGCGGAGATGGTGGTGCGATGATCTCTTGTCATGGGAGTGGGTGGGCCAGGTGAGACCAACCAGTGTCCAGTGTGGTGGGGAAGGACCCTGAGGCCGAGACTTACTATTTATTCTCCTGGTCCATTCACCTCCTTCTTTCTCCCTCTGTGCTGTGAGCCTCATCTCTCCCTCTGCAGAATCCTCCACATCTTTCCCAGGCTACCCAGGTAAGTTCTGCTGCAGGTTTAGCTGCCCCAAGTCTGAGCTAAAAGGAGTGGCTGATGAATTCCACTGTGTGTGCTGCACTTCTGGTCTTCACTGATAGGATGCTTGCTCACTGCTTAAATCTGAGAGCCGTGATTTTGCTTGGGCGATGTTTTGTCCTTCCTTCCTTCTGTCCTTCCTTCCTCCCTTCCTTCCTTCCTCCCTTCCTTCCTTCCTTCCTTCCTTCCTTCCTTCCTTCCTTCTCTTTTTTCTTCTTTTGCTTCATCTGCTTCTCTTTTCTCTTTAACTTCAACCCACACAGTATTCTTGTACCATATATATACGTATTTGTAAGGTTTATGAGTAATGTATAAAGACTGCTGCTGTGGAGCCACTTTTTAAAGGAGTAGTTTTCTTATTTTTAAATACTTTGACTTCTTTTTATTTTTAATCCCTTTTATGTCTTTCTTTTCTTCTTTTTAAATTTACTTTTATTTTATGTGCACTGGTGTGTGGGGTCCCTTGGAACTGGAGTTACAGACAGTTGTGAGCTGCTATGTGGGTGCTGGAATTGAACCTGGGTCCTCTGGAAGGGCAGTCAGTGCTCTTAACCACTGAGCCATCTCTCCAGTCCCCCGGAGCCACTTTTTAAAGGATTATTGTATTTGGAAAGCAAGGAGATGGAGGGGAAAGGTAAACTTGCTTTCAGAAGGATCACCTCATAATATCAAACCAGTTCTTGTGTCCTCAAGCTACACAAGTAAAGCAAGGAGAACTTCAGTTGGATCTTTTAGGACGGATGGTAGAGTGGTCAGAGACAAAGGCAAATGGAAACACAGCCGAACACTGCAGTCCATACATTTATCCTAAGTGTGTGTGTGTGTGTGTGTGTGTGTGTGTTTACATGCCCCACAGCCTATGTATAGAGGCCTGGGGATCATTTTCTGGAGTTGGTTCTCTCCTTCCACCTTGATGTGAGTTCCAGGGATCAAACTCAGGATGCCAGACTTGCATGGTGAGTGCCTTTATGCAGTGAGCTATATCATATGCCCCAGTATCTAAGAGTTGTGGGGCGTTTACCCACCAACCCCACAGCTCCCCAGAGTTTTCTTGAGTGTGAGCAGCAGGAAATATTAGATAGAAGGATTTATTGCGGAGACTCTTGCGGAGATAAATAGATAGAAAATAAAGGATAGCCTCGAGAGGGCCTGGAACCTATTCCAACGGGCCCTGACTGTCTCTGCCCCAGGGTATTTATAGAGACGCCAAGGGGTGAAGCAAAAGACCTCCTCCCCCAGCACAGCCAAGTGCAGACCATCCCAGACACCTGCACTCAGGCCCGTGGTCCTAATCATCCTCTATGCGGACCTGCTGGGTAAAGCCACAAGGAACCTGAGAACGGGCTCCCACAAAGAGTCCAGAGGCTGTGGCCCTCCAGGAGCACACAGGTGTTCTGGGATGACTTGCCCCAGTGTGTTCTGAGGGATACATGTACATCCTTACACTTCTTTCCTCTACAACTGCTGGCCCCAGACTGCCTCGTTAGTCACATTTGTAATTGTGTTTGTGTATTTTTTTGTTATTGAAATAAACAAAAGTTACATGGGGGAAACAACCCTCATTGACTCTGCAGTGAACTCCAATTTTAATGGTTTTGCTTTAAAGAAAAAAAATCCTGCTCATGAGCATTAGATTTTTCTTAACAACACAGTCAGAAAAAAATAGTATCCTAAAATAAACCAGAATTGAAATTTTGGAAATGTATCCGGGCTTTCTGACCACAGGGATGAAGAAAGATTAGGGAAGTTGGAATTGGAAGAACCTAGTCCAGGTCCACGTTCTAGCCTTTTGTTTGCCTTCTATAAGATGAGGACGAAAGGCTGGGGCTATAGATCAGTTGGTAGAGTGCTTGTGTGCCATGCATGAAGCTCTGGGCTCACACCCCAGCACTGTGCAAACCCAGACAGGATAGCACTCTCAAGATGCAGAAGCAAGAGGGTCAGAAGTTCAAGACTGTCTTTAGCTACCTAAGGAATTGAGACCAGCCTGGGCTACATGAGACGCTCTCAAAAACTAAAAGTAAAAGCTAAATTAAATGAGACCAATATTACCTCTACCTCCACAAAATTAATTTTCCCAGTGTGAAAACTATTGCAAGAGATCTGGCCTTTCACTGATACAGCTAGAAAGCGGAGTGCACCCAGAAGAACCAACCAGAAGGGAACTGTGTGTATTCTCATGCCCTGTATCTCTCCTAATCCTGACATCTTCCCTTTCCATCCCCATTGTCCACATAGGCTAGAGTTGTTTGCTTGTTACTGAATGTCAGGTACTTTCTAGCCACTTAGGACAGAGCAATGAGCCACACACAACATGCCCTGAGTTTGTGTGACTTACACTCTAGGGGCATATTTTTTACTGCCTTCCCAACTCAGTGTAGTTGGACCATAAGGAGTCAATAGATAAAGAAACCATGGTTCTACTAGCATCCCAGGAACAAAGGACACAGTCCCAAGTCCCCAAGATGCACAGAGAGAATAACTTCAGGTCAAGAGCCAAATCTATGGTCGACAGAGATTGAATGTTCCACATGTAGCCAACAAATGCCACCCTATCGCCACTAGCCTTCAAAAGATGCTCTAGCCTTAGTAATTGGCTTCGTGAGATAACCATTCCTATGAGACCATTAATAAGATCGGAAGGTAGTCCCAGTAGGCCTGGCGGAATCTCAGAAAATGAGAAAAGAAAGCCCATGGTTTCTGGGCTGAGGGCATAAGTTGAGAGTGTGGTTAGACAAACTCAAGTTCGCCTTGCTCACTGTTGGAACCATTTTCCAAAATGCAATCATCATGCTTTCTAAGCCGAGAAGTCCAGAGAGTTGTTGACATAAGTGGAAATGGTATTGATCTTATTTAACTTAAGAGAAAAGTTGTACAGCTAGCTAGGGCACCTTGTAAAAGGTTGGGCGAGGACAAAATGTGATGTGACTGAATAGGCACCTCTACCTGGACACCTGGCATTCTACCCAGGTGGCCTACCCTTCTGGGATGAGCACCCACTTGAACTATTCCAGCCACTCAAAAATTCCCTTTTGAAAGTTTTATATATTAAGCCACAGTGTCGGCCATGGATTCCTGTTCGGAAACTTGTTCCTCACACTAAAGCAAGGTTGTCATTATATTATACAAACACTTTATTTTCTCTGTGTAAAGAGTCTGTCAGTAGATTAATACAGCGGTAGATGGGAAAGTGTCACCACACTAAAGCAGAGTAGAATGGGTGAAAGGATCCGGATAGGAGGAGTTAGGAGACCTTGATGCCAATCTTTTTATTTTTAAATATTTATTATGTATGTGGTGTTCTGCCTGTATGTATGCCTACAAGCCAGAAGAGGGCACCAGATCTCATTATAGATGGTTTTGAGCCACCATGTGGTTGGTGTGAATTGAACTCGGGTCCTCTGGAAGAACAGCCAGTGCTCTTAACCTCTGAACCATCTCTCCAGCCCTTTTGTTTTGTTTTGTTTTGTTTTTCGAGACAGGGTTTCTCTGTGTAGCTTTGTGCCTTTCTTGGAACTCACTTGGCAGTCCAGGCTGGCCTCGAACTCACAGAGATCCACCTGGCTCTGCCTCCTGAGTGCTGGGATTAAAGGCTTGTGCCACCACCGCCCAGCGATGCCAGTCTTGATCACAGTTCCAATCCAATGGTGAGATTTTTTTTTTTACATAGTCATCTTGGAATTATGATTACTATGATGCTTTAACGAGAAAATATACAGAAATCTGTCATACCCATAGTCAGCTACCTTCCTATAGATGATCCCAGAATGTAAGCAAAATCAAGACCGCCAAAAATGCCTCTCACTATGAATCTGATCTCAAATATGAAGATATAGTCAACATCTCTGTGCTCATTGTAATCCATGGGGGTGGGGGTGTCAGATGTTTTCAAATACAGCCACCATTACAATAAGGCTGGTTGGGTTTGTTGTTTGCTTTCTGGGCAGTAACTAAGATCTTGCGCTTTATATCTGAAGTTTGAACTTCAAGCAGTATCAACATTAGGAAAAAGTGTGAAGAATTAATGACCCATCCCTGTGAATAATCTGCAACTGCACATTAAGAGAAGAACTCATAATGAAAAGCGGCGTGGTTGCCTTAGAAGCCACGCCTCCCATTTCCAAATATAACTGGCACCAGTGGAAAATATGGGGTTAGGGTGGAAATATGGGGGAAATTTAGATCTTTATCCAATTAATTTCCTTAAATATGGGGTGGGGTGGAGGCAGACGCATACATGCTATGGTGCACTTGTAGAGTCTAGAGGTCAGAGGCCAACTCTCAGGAGGTTGTTCTGGACTTCCACCTTGCTAGGGCTGGGTCTCTGTGTCTCCTGTACTATGTGTACTACAGGCTTGCTGGCTTGTGAGCTTCTGGACAAGTCTCTTAACGTCTGCTTCCCATCTTAGGGTAAGAGTTTTGTGGTCACAGATGTTTGCCACCATATGCAACTTGATGGCACACGTCTTTAATTCCAGTATTTGGGAGGCAGAGGCAGGTGGATCTCTAAGTGAGAGGCCAGCCTGGTCTACAGAGTGAGTTCTGGGGCAGCCAGGACTACACAGGGAAACCATGTCTCGAAAAAAAAAAAGGGGGGGTGGGGTGGGGGATTAAAGTGATCAGACTCAGACATCAGGCTTGCCTGGCTGAGCCACCCAAATGTTTCCCGATCAATTCTTCTAACTGAAAAATTAGAAATTCTTCAAAGATGGGGAAACATAACAGATATTTCAGTTGTTTATTATATAGCCAGTAAGATTCCAGACCAGGAACAGTCTGGTGGAAAAATAAATTTATAATAAATGAATGCCAGTCAATGTGTTAAAATTTCTCAAATCGACAGAAAGTGAAGTGGGCAAATAGATACCAGGACTTGATTAACCCAGTCTGTTCATCTGGAAGCACTTTCCCTGCTACAATTGGACACAGATTCATTAGCTGGTATCTGACTTAGGATCAAGCAAGTGCTGATCAACCACTCAGGGTTTATTAGTAGCTGCCCATAACTAAGTTTGAAAAAGACACTAAAGAAATCTGATTCCCTCCAGCAATAATGAAAAAGGGGCCTCTGAAAAAAAAGAGGATTCACCCGGGAAATGTGTGAAAAAAATTCATCTCTTACTTTTCCAGCTTCAGAGCAGATGGATGAACATCATCTTTTCATAAAATGTGTAGAAATAGCGAGCTTTTCATACTCTCCAAGATGCCAGACAAGGATAAACATGGCTTAACTTTGCTTTGTTTCCATTTGCCCAGCCATGAACTGCTTCAGGACTCCGCCAAGCAACTCTTGGGTTTACCCCACTGTGATACTCTGCTTATTTGGATTTTTCTCCATGTTCAGGCCCTCCGAATCATTCTTAATCCCATTTTTGTCTGAACCCAGTAAGAATCTAACCAAAACAGAGGTAAGCTAATGGGTACATATCTTAATGGGGGGCAACTTAGTAGAATTTAAACACGGAGGTAGGGATATCGTTCAGTCTACAGTAAGACAGAAAAAAAAAACTTTGAATTCCAGTGAGCCCCATTCTCACAGAATTTATTACATAATAGAACTGCTCTTTCCTCCTCACACCTTCAATAATGTTAAGCCAAACACTTAACATGTATGAAGAGTATTTTAATTTTCAGTGTGTTGAAGTTAGTCTGCATACATAGGAGTTTTTCAGGTCTCCATTGGTTTTATTACACTTACCCTAAAATGAAATTGTTCTCTGCCTAAGGAATGCCTTCTGAGAAACCAAGAGGCTACTGAGTATAAGCAGGATGCAATAAGAAAGTGTAATACAATTGCATGTCACATAATGATGTTTAGTGAATGGTGGACCGTATATGCAATGGTGCCCCTATAGTTATAACTATAGCTATCTTAACTATAGTTAAAGTCATAATATCCCAGAGAATTCTTTAGTAACACTATAGCTAGCTTAAAAATCACACCTCAATGTTTATGTATATATTTATGTGATACCAGTGTAAACAAACGCACTGCTGTGCTCTATCACCCATAAAAATACAACACACACATTTATATATAGTATGGAATGTAAAGCTTGGTGATGATGGTAAATGACTGTTACTGCCTATGCATTTGCTGATACTTTTATCATTGTCTTAAGGTATGTTCCTACATAGCAAAAATAAAAGTGCCGTACTACACCAGCATCAGCCCATACATCCTGTGGTTACTGTACCTTTCGATTGCATCCTATTCTCTTGTGTTTAAGTTAACCTCGTGTTTTATTTTTCTAGTTCCTAAGAGCAATAGGCTATTATACACCGCATAGCTGGTCTATATAGTTAGTTATACCATCTGAGTTTCTGGAAGCACTCTCTGTAAGGTTTGCACAGTAAACAAAATTAGCCAAAGACACATTTTTCAAAGCAACACATGATTGTATTTCTTTGTGACTCTTACTCAGTTTTGAAAAACTATTTAGCAGTGAATGTGCTATAAACAGATTGATTCCCTGATCTTCCTTCCTGGAAAGTCAAGTTCTCTTACGCAGAAGGATAATTCTTACTGGATATGGCAAATCCCAGCACTCTGGAGGTAAAGGCAGGTGGAGTTCTGTGACATCAAGGCCAGCCTGGTTTACATAGCATGATCCAGTTTAGCCAGGAATATATTCCTCCCTCCCTTCCTCTCTCTCTGTCTAAAAGGTACAAGAAGAAAATGTACCAACCCAACTAGAAAATCACCCTAGGCTGGTTTACTATCTCCAACCACAACCATGAAAATACTGTGTGGAACGTGACATCATCTAGAAAGCTAATTGGTACTGGGTCATCAGTAGGGAATGGGCAAAGACAGAAGCCAGATTCATTGTGTGAAACACAATGGCTTCAGAGTTGCTTGGACTGAAGCATGTCATACTTAAGACAAAGGTCACTTAAGACAAAGGTCACAGAGATGGGCCAAAGTCAGCTTAACCCACCTATTGGTGAAATTATTAAGGCCACTCCACGTAGTTAAAAGGGAGGTTTATTTTGTGGGGTAACTTACAAGTGAAGGGATAGGTTGCAGGGTCTGGGAAAGGTGTGGCACAGTCCGGCAGTGTTCTCTGGAGAACTCTGCTCGGTCTAGCTCCAGCGTCCAGGATCCAGGAACCAAGAGAGCCCGGGCATCCGGATCTCGGGTCTTCAGCGTCCTCTTTCAGCCTGCCTTGTAGGCATGACCATTACCGAAGTCTCAATGGGGGTTGGAACTTCCAGGTCAAAGCTGGAATGGCTACCCACTACAACCATCCACCAGGTTTGACTCTGCATACACTATGGACAAGTGAATAAATTCTCCTTCATAACCACAGGTTAGATCTGGGCCCTCCTGAGACCGTGGGGGACCCAGATGTCAATGAGGGAAAGTTGAGTGATTCAAAAGACTGCTCTCTTACCCATCACACTTAAAGATCATTAACAATCTTTTGCGTCCTTTCTGCCTGCAAAACTTGAGAGCTCATGTGTTTGTCTTTAAACAGTAATATGACCCACAGTAAACTTCAGCAAGCAGTGACGAATCTATAGACATGGATAGGGTGAGAGGAGCTGGAGAGCCCAGCAAATCTGAACAGGAAGGAAATGACGTGCATTACTTGTTCCCACTTGGTAATTTGACAAAGCAATTGGCTTTTGCTACCGACTGTGTGTGTCCACCCAGATTTCCGAAGGGTGGAAGGCAGATCAAGGAGAGAAAGGCTGTTCTTCTCTTTACCTTGGGAACTCAGTACTTAACATCGCTAACCTTTGTGTAAGAGTAGATTGGGATTTTTTTTAATTTATTTATTTTTATTGCATGTGCAGTGGTGTTTTACCTGCACGTGTGTCCATACGACTGTGTCAGATCTCCTACAACTGGAGTTACAGACAGCTGTGATCGGCCATGTGGGTGCTGGGAATTGATCCCAGGTCCTCTGGAAGAGCAGTCAGTGCTCTTAATCACTGAACCATTTCTCCAGCCCCCTAGACTGGGTTTTTATTTGGTTTGGTTTGGTTTTTTTTCAAGACAGGGTTTCTCTGTGTAGCCCGGGCTGTCCTGGAACTTGCTCTGTAGACTGGGATTTTTTTAAGAACTCGGAAATCTCAGAAGATCAGAGTATTTAAGTTTAAACTTGACTTGAATTTTTTAAAACTAATTTACTCACTATTACATATTACTTAAACTTAACTTTCTTGTGTAATCCAGAGGACATACTGTCTCCCTAGAGCTCTTATACCAGGATACACCTAAGTATGTAAATTGCTTGGAGTACTGGTTTTATTTTCTTTTTCTTTACCACCGACCGCCCCCCCAGCCCCATATTGGGTTATTTTTGTTGTTGTTTTGTTTTTCATTTAGCAAGGACACTACTTTTTCTTAGCAATTTGCCTGTAGATCAGTTTTCTATTATTTTTCCCCCCCGTAATACAAAGAGTATCTGACTAGATGTGACTTTGAGGTCCAAATCTACCACGTGTCTCTTTGAGATATGCTGTGCTTTCTGGTCACCCCTACATATCGACTCCACAGATAACCAATGAGGTCCTTCCCGTTTGGACATACTCCTACCTGGCAACGCTGCCCCCTGTGTTCATCCTCACCGATTACCTGCGCTACAAACCAGTCATCATGTTACACGCCATTGCCTTCATCATTTGCTACCTGCTTCTCTTGTTTGGCCAAGGGGTAATGCTCATGCAGGCGGCTGAGTTCTTCTTTGGGATCGTCTCATCCACAGAGATAGGCTACTATTCCTACATCTATAGCATGGTCAGCCCAGAGCACTACCAGAAGGTGAGCAGCTACTGTCGGAGTGTCACGCTGGTGGCCTACACAGCTGGTTCGGTGCTGGCCCAGCTCCTGGTATCCCTGGCAACCCTGCCATACTTTTACCTCTTTTACATATCCTTGGCCTGTGTCTCTGTGTCCTTATTTTTCTCACTTTTTCTACCAATGCCTAAGAAGAGCATGTTTTTCCATACAAAGTATGAGAGAGAAGCCCGTCAAAAGCCACTGGAACAAGATACTGTCCTTGAGGAAGCCCAGAAGAACCACAAGGCAGCTCACCCAGAATTGCATGCCCCTTCAGGAAAGCCAGGGGACAGAGAGCTGAGCAACCCAGAGCCAAAAAATGTGGCTTTGAGACCCTTTGTGCATTGGTTCCAAGATCTGAAGGAGTGCTACTCCTCAAAGCACCTTTTTTACTGGTCCCTGTGGTGGGCTTTTGCGACATCAGGTTATAACCAAGTCTTAAACTATGTTCAAGTCTTATGGGAACACAAAGCACCCTCCCAAGACTCTTCCATCTATAATGGAGCAGTAGAGGCTATTGCAACATTTGGAGGTAAGTAGACACATCTCTATCCACCTCTGCTACCCTCTGAAGGGTATTGCTCCAGATGCTAAATTTCTCCTTGGTGATTAATTAGCTATGATCAAAAAGTAGAGTAATTTTTTTTAATTTGGGGGATATATGTACATACGTGTGTGTGCACAGAGGTGAGAGGAGGCTATTAGGCGTCCCCTAAAATAGGGTCTCTTGCTGACTTCAGAGCTAGGCTAGTGGCCAGCAAGCACCAGTGATTCTCCTGTCTCTGCTCCCTACAACAGTGGGATTGCAGGCATGCACAAGCACATCCAACTTTTTAAAGGTGTTCTGGGCATTTGAACTCAGGGCCTCATGCTTCCATCATAAGACCACTTACCCACTAAGCCATCTTCCCATTCAAGAATAGAAGGCACTGAAAAAATAAGAGTGCAATAACTTTTTATGCTATATGTTACAGTTACAAATAACTCCAGAGTATAAAGCTTAGAACCAAGTAATGTATTTCTAGTAGAATCCATAGGTCCCATTTCATTATTAAAATAAATGTTGATAATGTGCCCTGTTCCTTCAGTATTATGTTCATATATTTTAAAGTTGATAATTTGTTTTATTCTTAGTTTAAAGATGAGTGACATCGATATAACTTCTATTTTTTTTTAATCTTTTTGGTATGTGTATGTGTGTATATGTGTGTACGTGTGTGTGTGTGTGTGTGTGTGTGTGTGTGTGTGTGTGTGTGTGCACATGCAGGTACATGTGAAAGCCAGAGGACAACATTAGGTATCACCCTTTGGGTGCCAGCCGTCTTTTTCTTTTCTCTTCTTAAGCAGGGTTTCTCACTGGCCTTTAACGCACCAAATAGGCCAAACTGTCTGGCCACTTTGGGCTAGGGTTCCATTTGTTTCTGCCTTCCCAATGCTGGAAATACAATACACTACCATGCCCAGCTCTCTATATGGGTTCTGGGGCTAACACTGGGGTCTTCAGGCTTGCATGGCAAGGACTTTACTAACTAAGCTAAGCCAGGCCTTTTCTGTTTTGGTCTTTTTAATCTTGTGTACAAATACATATTGTTGGGCATACTTCCCCCTGTACCTCTGTGTCCTTCCTCATTCCCTCCTGGTTGTTTGGTTTCCCGTTGAGTGTTTTGGATGCAGGTATTGTAGACATAGAGCCTCTGTCTGTGTCCAATAACAAAGACTTTCTTCCCATTCTGTAGGCATCCTCTTCACTCGACTGCTTCCCTCCACACTGCAGAAGCTTCCAGTCTCATGTGATCTCATTTGTTGATTGTCACCCTTATTTCCTGACCTACAGGAGTCCAGATGGTTTTTAATATTAAAAGAAAAGAGAAAGTGCAGAGTTTTTATTTTTAACTCTAGAAAGTGCATGAAGGTTTCCAGGATCTTACTCAGAGAGTCTTCTTAGGGACCTTCACAACTCTAGGTTGTACACCAACAATTTTCACCAGTGGCTTTTTTTACACAGTTTCCATGATGTTAGACTCAGCATTCTAATATCAAAAAGAAATTTGCCTTTGAAGCATACTCTGCAATAAATATTTATATACTCGTAAATGGAAACGTAAATGTTACGTGCGACTTTGAAGATGTGTTTTAGGAAGTAGGATATTTTTCCACACCTTCCTCTATGGAAAGCTTCAGAAATGCACGTAGCCTCTGTTTTATTATTGTTTCCCTCTTGGGAGGCTTCAGCAAACTCCTGACAGCCAAGGCTATGACAGAATTAGACCATTGAAATTATTGCTCTTACGGCCAAAGTTCTTGGGAAGAGCTATTCCTTTTTAGAGACAGTTGTACTGCAGATCACCTATGGGAAAATAATTGACTAGTTATCAATAGTTTGAGCCCTAAATATCTCTTGTTGAGTTCAAGAGAACCATAGTTACTAACTGATTGCAGTCAGTAGTTCACCTTTTCATACCCTATACATCAGTGCAGGTCCTTTTTGTCCAAAGCCTTAAGAAAATCATGGCGGCTGTAGCAGAAGGATTACTCGAAACCAGAAGGTCAAGCGCAATACAAGGAGACCTCCAAAAGTTTCCTTAAGTCTAGGAAGGAAGGAAAGAAAGAAGAGAGGGAAGGAAGAATGGATGGAAGGAGGTAGGAAGAAAGGCAGGAAGGAAAGAGAAGAAAGAAAATTGGGACACCCACCACTCAAAAACATACAATTAAAAACAACAGAGCAACTTTACTTGTAAGACATTTACATGCTTGCTATCCTGGTGTTTTGTAAATGACAGGGCTACTGTGTTACTGCGTCCCACTGCTGTGTTCAGGCACCTTTTATCTCTTCTGCCTACTGTATGCCTGATATGTCGTTCATACTAATTAAAAGTATAAGAGAGAAGTGGTTGAAAGCAATAGCAAGTGAGAAAAGAAGAAAATCTGCTTGAAAAAAGTTCTTTTAAAGTTCTTCATTTAAGTAGATCACATAGTTTTTGTGAAATGGTACATTCATCACCTTTATGATTGCTCCAGAGCTGAGTTTTGTTTGTTTTTTTGACGCATTGCTATTTTCTTCCTACAAAGTCAATAGCTTGACTTCTTCCTCCATGTCTGTTTCCAGGAGCGTTGGCGGCTTTCTCAGTGGGCTACGTGAAGGTCAACTGGGATCTCCTAGGAGAGCTGGGTCTAGCCATCTTCTCGGCCATCATCTCCGGCGCTCTGTTTCTCATGAATTACACGCTCAGCATCTGGGTGTGCTATGCGGGCTATTTACTGGTCAAGGCTAGCTATATGTTTCTTATAACCATAGCAGTGTAAGTGTCCCCTACCATCCCCCTACTCTTTCCTGGATTCCTAAAGACTCACTGAGAACTTCAGAAGGATCTCCATCAGTTGCAATGTCAAATGTTAACTCCATAGTGAAGGGAATTCAATGAAGCCATCTCTTCATTTAGCTGAATACTGCCAAGTCATTCAAGGGGGAAAAATCTGGGATACTGTGTGAACCAAATGCAAGGACCCATGGTCTACTTTTGGTTTCTTTTTACTTCCAACGATTTGTCATAATAAGGTATGATGTGATTTAATTTTAGATGCACAGGTTTAGATTTTATCCCTAGCCTCATTTAGTTGCTTGGGAAGTTCTAAGCACATACTTTCTGTCTCAGGAAATAGTCTCAGGAAAATTATGAAAAGGTGGAGGTGGGAGGGATGATGCAAAGATGATAAGAAAACTCCAGCTTCACGTGTTCCTGGAACTGTGTGCTTTTGAATCATTTTTTTAAAAAAATAAGGTCACTGAAATTCAGTTTCCTTTAGTACTTATGTCTACTTTTTAAGAGGTTTTGGTTTGGATTTTTTTTTTTAAGAAAGAAATTACTTAAAAGCATGTGAGCTTATATGGGTACAGTTAAAGCTGACTACAAGAAATTTTCTTTGGGAACAGGCTTTGTAAGTCAGTTGGTAAAGTGCTTGCCACAAATGTATGGACTCCTGGGTTCGAATCCTAGCCCTACATAAACAGTAAAAGAGAGCGGTATCAGCTCAGGACCCCAAAACCAAGGTCTCAGCACAAAGGTCTTTGCCCCAGGGGGACAAAGTGTAGGGAATAGAAGGTGACAGAGACAGGAGGACCAGGGAGAAGGGGAAGGAAACAAGAGATAGAAGGGGGATTTGTCCCCAGAGGGAGACAAAAACTGCCTCTGGATAGAGAGGCGACAGACGTGGCACATAGGAAAATGTCGGTTTATAAAGGTAAAAGAGGAAATCCCATGTTAGGAAGAGGTGTTTAATTTTCATTGGGCATGTTAATTAGGTAGCCAAGGGGGACTTCTGATTGCTGAACTTCAATACTTTGATAGCTGGACCTTGGTGGTCAGCCTCAGGAGGAGGAAGTGGCCAAATAAGGGAACAGACCTTGGGGGCTAGCTTTAGGAATGTCATCTAAGGGGTTTTAGCAAGAATGAGGGAAAGGGGTGGGGGAGAGGGCAAGGCTTGCCAGAGCCACATGCTTGAGTGGGTGAGTGTCCCTTCAAACTGGACACAGTAGAACACTCCTGTTGTTCAGAACATGGGACATAGAGGCAGAAGGATCAGAAGTTCAAGGTCATCCTTGATGACACAGCAAGCTTGAAGCCAGACAGGGCCACATGGATCTTGTCTCAGAAGAGAGGAAGAAAAGGGAGAGGAGGAGACTCTAGTTTCCTTTGGTATTAGCCAAAAAGAGATAGAAACATGCATTTTAGTTCCAAGCTGCATCTGAGACATAGTGACAGGCTCTGTCACGTTTCATTTTTAGTTTGTGAAAAGTGTTTGATAAACAGTAAAACACTGGCGTGTGAGTTTCAAGGCACAGCGCAGAAGAAAATGGAGATGTAACTAGTTAGCAAGTATTCTGGCTTCATTTCAGTCACTGTGACAGATTCTCTGGCCAAAAGCAACAGAGACTATGAAAGGATTTATTTGGTTTATAATTCCAAGTTATAATCCAACCTTGGTGGGGGGAGTCATATTATAACCATGACTAAGAGCAACAAGAGAATAAAGCATCCTTGCTTCATGAGATAGCTTTCTTCTATGTTCAGATCTCCTGCCTAAGGAACGGTGCCACCCATGTTAATAATCCAGATAGTCCCCCACTGACGTGTCTACCGGCTAACCTGATCTAGACAATCCCTCTTTAAGACTCTCTACCCAAGTGATCCTAGGTTGTATCAAGTTGATAGTTGAAATTAACCATCACAGAAAGCTAAGTTTTTCACTAAAATATCTTGGTTTAATGTATCAAACTTGAATGTCTAGTTTCTTTTTTTTTTTTTTTTAATGTTGAGGATTGAAAGGGAGAACTACTACTATTGCTTTGCATTTAAAAAACATTCAGGGCCCAAAGCCTTTTATCTGCAGTCTAAGAAATGTAGTAAGGTTTTGACATCTCTGGTTAAAAACTGATTATGGATTCAGTCAGTTGCACAACCAACCATGGTCTGAATCTTCCAAAAAATCACGAATCCACGATACCTTCTCACTGTAGGACAGTGACAATAAACTGACTATATTTTTTTATGTCCTCAGGTTGGATGATGTTTGCATTTTTATAAAACTTCATTGCAAACATGTATAAAAGCAAGTGACATTCAATATTCTCAAGTTAGAAGATGTTAACATTTATATTTAATTTCTAGAACATGCTAAATTATGCAGAAGAAATTTTATCATAGTGCCTTTAATCCAACCTTTAACAATATTTAATTCTTTTTTCTTTGCTCCTCCTGTTTGCCCATACTGGATAAGAGAGAAAATGTGCCTTGACAACACTGTTTTCAACTTCTTTGTTTTGTCTTGTTCTGGTTTTTTGTTTGATTTTAACACAAGGTCTCAAGTACCCCAGGGTGGCCTTGAATTTGCTATGTGGACAAGAATGACCTTGAATTCCTCCTGCCTCTTGAATGCTAGAATTATAGGAATGTACCACCATGCCCGGCTTCAGTTTCTATTATTAGATAAGAATTTTATGTGTTCTATGGTTAAATACTAACTCAGCATTTAATGGCAGGTTTCAGATTGCCGTTAACCTGAGCGTAGAGCGTTATGCCCTGGTGCTTGGCATAGACACCTTTATTGCTTTGGTGATTCAAGCCATCATGACTGTGATTGTGGCAGATAAAAGAGGGCTCCACTTGCAAATCACCACTCAGGTAAGCCACAGGACTTCTGGTCTTTATTGACACAATAGCTAGGAATATAGATAACCAGTTTGCTTCTAAGATGTCTTGATCATAAACTACCAACCTTGAAGATTTTTTAAAAATTATTTGATTATGAGCAGTTTTAAATATGCAGTCCTTAATTTTAATAGCAACTAAGTTTAGAGCGACTAGATTCCTATCTACTTGAAGAAGGTGGGTAAGAAGTAACCTCAGCATTTACAAGTCATTAAACTGAACCAGCCTTCAAACACAAAACCTAGACAGAACCCTGGGATCTACTGGGGTTTCCCTCTACCATTGCTGGAGTGGCTAGGATTTGAACCTAAGCAGCCTGCTTCAAAGCCAGAGCCTTCATCGCTATTCCCCATGCTTGCACTCTTAACCTTGGTTCATTTGAGATAGTAGAGTCCAGTCAGAGTAACCCATATTAAGTTCTAGATATCAATTACCCCATAATCCATTCAAACAAGGAAGGCTGTTATATATTATCAATGATACAAATGGTCAAATTTTATAAATAGCTAATTGTTTGTTTTCTTCCAGTTTTTAGTTTATGGAATTTACTTTGCTATCATTGCCGGGGTCTTCCTAATGAGAAGCATATACATTATCTACTCAGCCAAGTGCCAAAAGGAAGTAGAGAGCCTTGCTGCCACTCAGAGTCCTAATGAGCCACACCCACAAGAGACAAAGTTCTAACCCAATCACATCAACTCCAATTTTAAAAGGGTAGGATTTCAAGATGGGCCACCAGACGTGCTTTGCCACACCCAGACACTTGGCCAGTATGGATTCTAAAACCACAACCAAACCTCAGTCTCAGGCTAGATGTCTTTCTACCCAGCTAATTCCAAGCACTCCATATAGGCCACCACAACTGTATTATACTTTCGTTATGCTATGACAAAATACCTACCAAAAAGCAACTGAAGAGAGGAACTCAATTCGTTGTGGTTCACAGTTGGGGGCGGGGTGTACCTTCCATTGTGGAAGGGAAAGCATGTCTGCAGCAGAAAGAAGCTACTGGACACATTCCATCTGCAATCAGAAAGAAGAGAACAGTGTTCAGACCACGTTCTCCTTTTCAGTCAACATAGCACCCCAGCCAGGGCGGGTGGCACCACCCACATTTAAGATGAGTCTTCTCACCTCAGTGATCCTAATAAAGATAATCCCTCACAGATATTCAAAGAGGCTTTACACATCTTCAGTGACTCTAGGTCCTCTCAAGGTGACAATATCAACTATCAATATTAACAGCTGAGCAAGCCTCGTTGGGAACCCCCATGAATAACAATAACTTGGAAATGCTAAAGTTCTGATGCGTTCTGAGAACAAGCAAAGGGCATGGGAACAAGCCATGAAGAGACATAAGCCTCCTAGAAATGATGATCCCTGAGTGAGCACTTATACCAACAAGACTGACCTGGAGTTGACTTACATACGTCGAGGATCTAAAAAGGCAGCACCTGGGACCATTTCCTTCCTCTTCCATTAAGCAGACTTCTGTTTTAATTACAGCTGTCTGAAAGAATGACTAGGTTTACACCCGTTTCTGAGAGTCCCTCTTCCACTCTGAAAATACCGTCATCCTTTTCACAAGTTGTTACTGGACAGTCTCACGGATGTCATTTTTTCATCGTGTGGTCCCTTCTGGACTTTGTATTGGAACTCTCCTCCAGAGATCACTCCAGATGCTCTTGTGTGTGCTTGGAATGCCCTCACATCAGTTCCCAATGGCCTGGGAGAGATGATGAGCCTTCTTCCCACCGTGACCCTGGAGATAAGTGTTTGATTGATGAGTGTAGAACATTTCTGAAGGAAATTCCAGAGTTTTCCAGCAATTTTCATACATAAGAAAACACTTGTAGAAATTAAATACTAATTGTTTAATTTATTTTTATGTTTGGTGCTAAGGCTCAAACCAGGGCCTCACATATGCCAGAGAAATACTCTGCCACTAAGGTAGATCAACCCTTGGGCCCATGCCTAATTTTTAAATGGCAAAGATTATGTTCAATAAAATATTAAAATTTTAAAAGAATCCAAATTTATGAATTTCTCTGAGTGTTGTCTAAGAATTTCTGCCATTTGAAATGCAGTGGAGTATTTATTGAGCAATCTGCTACAGGAGAAAAAAGAATACTGATCTAGGATTTGTAATTTAAATATATTTTATTCCAAATTTTAAAATCCATTCAATGGGATTGAAAATAAAATTTATCCCAAAGGCCTAAACAGCAATATCTCCTTAACTGGTACTTTTTTTTTTTGTAATTTGGGTACCTATAGACAGCCACTCTCCAGAACTATTAAGTGGGAAGTTCTAGAAATAAACAGTACATAATTTAAACTGCATACTGTTCTGACAGGCACAAGTGGAAGCTCACTATCCATTCTGTCCGGTCTGGGTGTGTCCATGCTACTCACTTAATAGTTGCATCATGGTCTTCTCAGTTTTCAAGTCAACTGTGGTCTTATCTGAGCACTCATGTTCAAATAAACTTTATTTTTCTTAAAGCTAGAGTAGCGATGCTGGGAATGAAGTCATGCAAAAGAGACACTGACCATTATAGGTGTATGCATAAGTAAAAACAGAGTATATGCAGGTTCCATTACTGCCCATGGTTTCAGCATCCACTAGAAGTCATGAAAAAGTAACAACAAACCTACCTAGATGCAAGGGATGTGCTCTAATTAACAGACTTCTACTGGAGATGCTAGACAGTGCAATAAGACAAGAAAAAAAATTAGGAGTCAAACATTGAAAAAGAAGAAAAATTACTCCAAAAACTACAAGGACACACCCAAGAGGCTCAAGTGAAAACTGAGACACCAACAACTTTTGTACAGCTGTTTTTATGACATGATTGGTAAAGATCCATTTATAGTAGGGCAAAATGGTAAACATTTACTCTATAAATGTATAAAGCACAGAAATAGGCCTGAAAATACTTGAAGGTAAAGGAAATGACAGCTAAATGTATAGAAAGTTGTCCTTTGTTCTTGATTTGGAAGAAAAAAATGCAAAGATGTAAGACCTTTCTAAATCAATTATAAACTAAATGCTATCCTTATGGAAAAATATAACATATTTTCCTCCAGAACTAGTAAAAGTAATTATTTGAAAAATAAAAAAGAACTAGGTAGGTCGTAGCCCTACATGAGATGTCTCCATCAAATCCCTCCCCTCAGAGCCCAGGGAACCCCTTGGAAGAGGAGGTGGAAAGAGTGTTGTAGCGATAACAGAGACAAAGACAGCAAGTCACTCACCTCAGCAGAATGCCGAATGCCATTTATTGAAAGAGGGAGGAAACCTTAAATACAGGCTTATAGCACAATGGGAGAACCCCAGAGGGCAGAAGTTCACTACTGATGTTTACAATCTTGCATCTAAGCTGTTAATGCTCAGTATGCAGGATACACAAACAAGGAACTTTCCTTAAGCATTCAGGAGAGTGGAAACCAGCAGGGAATTAGCATAGGGAGGGCATCTGGTCAAGGTTGGCAAGCAGGCAACAGCTACCCAAATTGGGAGGAGGCCAGGGCCCTATAAGTGTAGGAGTCAGAGGGGATGGAGGACACCAGGAGAACATGGCCCTCCAAATCAACATGAGCAATGCTCATATGAACTCACAGAGACTGAAGCAGCATGCAGAGGGCCTGCACGGGTCTGCACCAGGTCTTCTCATTTATATTATAGCTTCCAGTTTAGTGTTTTGTTTTTGATTTGTTTTGTTTTGGGTTTTTTTTGTTTTTTGTTTATTTATTTATTTAGGTTTTTCGAGACAGGGTTTCTCCATGTAGCTTTGCTACCTGTCCTGGATCTCACTCTGTAGACCAGGCTGGCCTCGAACTCACAGAGATCCACCTGGCTCTGCCTCCTGAGTGCTGGGATTAAAGGCGTGGGCCACCACCACCCAGCCCAGTTTAGTGTTTTTTTATGGGATTCCTGGGTGTGTATGAAAACAGTGAGTCTCCAGTTCTTGTGCCTTATCTTAGGACCTTTTCCTTCTGCTGGTTTGTCTTGTCCAACTTCAATGTGATAGATTTTGTTCTATCTTAATATATATATTTATTTTTATTTTTATTTTTTAATGAATGAGTGAAAACCTAGCCACTAGGGTAAAAGTTAACAATGAAACTGTCACTTATACCTGCTGGGAGAAGGAAAACCAGTTTCCTCCAATAGAGTGACACTGGGTCTATCAGACACTGCAGGACAGGCCTTGTGTTCAGGAGTAATTGACCAACATATAATGAACTCCAAAAGGTTTTTTTTTGGTAAGCTTTTATTTGGTTACAGTTGGTATTGTGTTTTGTTTTTGTTGTTTTTATTTTTTGGGGGGGATGTGGTTTTATTTTGCTTTCTTTGTTTGGGGGACATTTTGTTGTTGCATTGGGTTTTTATTTGTTTTTTGGGGGGGAAAAAAGTTGGGTGGGTAGGGGCGGGGGAATCTGGAAGGACTTCGAGGAGGAGAAGAATATAGTCAAAATATATTTAAATTGAAAAAGTGGTTTAAATAATGAAAAAGAAGAACTGGGTCAGCAGGATGGCTCAGCAGTAAGGGTGCCACCAAGCCTGACCACTTACACTCTATCCCTGGAGTCGATATGGCGGCAGGAGAAAACCACCCGTGTGAACTTGTTCTCCTGCCCAGCACTCAGTGTACCATCATATGTGCATGTACCACCGCTGTGGGGGACAAGCACACAAAATAAGTAAATAAATGTTTAACGATTACCCAGAAACAGAACCAACAAAGTGTCTTTTAAAAATGGAAAAGGGAGTTTCCAGGCAAGATGGCAGGCTAGGAACCGTCACTTTTATGGATGTGGGGACGGAGGGGGCCAGGGGACGACAGACTATTCAAACGAAAGTAAAAGAGGAAGATCCTTCGAAATACCGCAAAGGTAGTGATAGGAGAGCCAAAGTTTGTGAAAGAGAAACCAGGTGGTGCATAGAGGTGGGCTGGGGAAGCCAAAAACACATTCAACGCATCCACAGACAACCCCAGCAAAGAGAGTGGCCGCCATACCCTCATGGCAAGCCCACAGTTCCCAAAAGCCCCAATCCAGCTGCAGATCTAACAATGGCAGTGATTTCTCCATTGGGTGGTGGATAGGGAGGGAAATCTCATTTCAAAGCCACAGGAGAGGGACAAAGACCAACCTCCAGCCTCGCTGCACTGCTCACCCTGAGCTGAGGTCATCCCCCTTGCAGACACGGATGCCACGGGAGCTACAGACAGACCAACGGGGCTGGCATTGTCCCACCCCAAAGAGGGCCAGCCTGCGCTGTTGAAATGCTCTCCCCTCTTTTGAATGGGTTCCTTGAGAGCAGCACGATGAAGAGTGACTGAAGCTGGGCTTCTCGGACTGTGTGGACTCAGCGCAGTGTTTGGGAAGACAATATACCCAACAAAGAAGAGGCACTGACTGAATCTGTAAATATTTCCCATTTCTAATTCCTGTTTTCATTTTTACATTTATTTCTGTATTTTTTAACCTGTACACCTATACTTCAATTACTTGTTTTGTGTGAGCCTGTATCTTTCCAGACTATGTTTTTATGACTCTGTCTTTTTCCCACACCTACTCTATTTTTTTCTCTTATCCCTCATACCTGTAGCCCATGTACCTTCTGTTTCCTTATCATTCCTGCTTTACTCTCTCTTTTCCTCCCTTTTCTCATTCCCTCCTTACTTTACTACTTAATTATTAATATCTGTAGCTATAAAAACTTCAAACTTCATTTCCCCCAACTCGGTACCCAAGTGCTGCTGTCTGAAACTTCTTGGGGACACAGCTGAAACACACAGGTGTCTTCTAGCGTATGTTAGCACCAGGGCTGTGGTCAAACCATTGTGTTTGTGTTCCAGTCAGCGTCCCCTCTCCGTAGTAGTGGGGAACATAAAGCCAAGTAAATAAAATAAAACAGAAGAGTGGGAGGAGGGCAGAGATGAATTGAAGGACACCCTCTTCCCAACAGATACATAAAACACAAGGATAGGTCACAGGTGAGCAGAAGGGCTTGGTCATTATACCCAGTATCTCCTCCTTCTTCCACTTGAATCCTTAGATCTATGGAAGTTTCTGCCCCAAGAAATGTAACATATAGAGGATACAACTTTCATGTGTGCATGGATGTGAACACACCCATGCATGTGGATAGGATCATGTGTGTGAAAACACATGTGTGTGTGTGTGTATTTGTGTGTGTGCAAGTAGGGCCAAAAGTTGACACTGAGTGTCTTCCTCAGTCACTTATTTGTTGAGGCAGGATCTCTCACTGAACCTGGAGCTCACTGGTTTAGCCAGACTGGTTGACCAGCAATCCCCAGGGATCCTTCTATCTCCCAGGACTGAAATGACAGGTGTGTACCCCCACTCCCAGCTCTTCACACGGGTGTCAGGGATCCGGACTCAGTTTTTCACTTGCCCAGCAAGCACTGTGCCCACCGAGCTGTCTCTTCAGCCCTCAGAACAACTTTCATCCAAGCGTCTTATGGTCGAGTGTTCAGCATGAAGCTATAACAGTCCAGGGATGCTGCGGTTCTGAGCAGTTCTCACCCGTCAGCTTCCCCTCCAACCTGCAGCATGGCTGACACAGTTCAGTTCACTGGATCATTGCCTTGCTCTGATAGCATCAAAAGGGCTTCTGAAATCATCAATACATGACTTTGGGGTGAAATGAGATTTCTGCTATTTTAGAAATGGCTTTAAATGTAATTCGTTCAAAATTTCATTTCAGCGGTAGTGGCAAAGAAATACACACTGGAGACCATAAACATTTTTAATCTGTGCTTTATTGTCTGGGTTCCTTTTTCCTTTCTAATAATTTTATATGAATGTCTCATGAAAGATTCAAATAGGCAGGATAATGTCCATGTCTCTCAAGCTAACCCATGCATCATCTGAGAGGGCTTATTTAGGTATTTCCTTCTTTAAAAAAAAATGTTTTATTTACTTTTTCTTACATTTGCTGCTTGGAAATTTAGCTGCTTCTTGAAAATTCAATTAGTTCTTAGGAAAAGAAAATTAATAACTAAAGTGAAAATGCTATCAGCAGATTTTCACACTAAGTGGAAACACTTGAAAAGAGTGGAAACTAATATGTGGAGTGGGGCCTCCATCACTTCCAGGGCTGGTGCTAACCACTGTTACTAAAGTGAGTCAGAAATGATCTTTCATGTCTCAGCATTTAAAAACACATTTATAAATAGCTTGTCCTCTGACATCCAGTGTGTGTGTGTGTGTGTGTGTGTGTGTGTGTGTGTGTGTGTGTGTACATAAGCTCTCTTGCACTCAGTAATATCCCAAGCTGACTTTTTTATTTTGACACAAGGTATCACAGAGTTGCCCAGAGTCACTTTGAGCTCACTTTGTAGTACAGAGTACAGGCAGGTCTAGAACCTGCAATCCTCCTGCCTCAGCTCCCCAGTAGCTGGTAATATATAATGACTCTAATGGCTCTCATCATTTTTATCATAAAGCAAGTCAACAGTTTGTACTTGCTGAGTGCTCAAGATGAAAAGAAAAATTTATCCTATGAGGTTAGATAACTTCTGATAGAAAAATGTGTGGTGGGAGTTGCGTGTGGTATCTGGCACTTAAGAAGTGGAGTCAGGAGGATCAGGAGTTTACAGTCATATTCAGCTTCATAGAAAGTTCAAGACCAGCCTGGACTTCATAGGGCCCCGTCTCTTGGAAACAGGGTATCCTGGGGCAAACTGGTTAGCTAGACTAGTGAAATTGGTGAGCTTTGGGTTAGAGGGAGAGAGAGGACCTGACTCAATAATAATACATAAAAATAAAGTGGGTAGTGATTGAGGAAGACACCCAACCTCAACCTCTGACTTTCAAATACATGTACACACATGTGCACATGAATACACACATCCCACGTACATGCAAACACATGCCACATACATGCAAACACATGCCACATACATACACATGCAAAGAAATGGAAATGAAGGCATAGAGATGGTGAGAAAAATCACCATATCTGAGAAAAAAAATACCAGGTCATACATGGTTCCAGCTTATTTGGGTCTGCTTTTTGTTTCTATTTAAGCCTTGACTTGTGCGAAACATGAAGATTTGGTTTTAGAAGCTGGAGATGAAGAGGCATGTCAACTTGTCTAGGGGCCTTTAGAAGAGGCACAAGTATGTGGGGTGGGGGGATAAGTCAGGGAAGAGTTGATCATGCGAGATGCAAACATGGCAGTTGGCTATGGATCAGATAGGTTCCCAAAGGGCTTCCCAAGAACGCAGCGCTTACATTGCAGTATTTTCACATTTATCTCAGGGCATGACCGTTGCTGTCTCCCCCACCCCCACCCACGTCAGCAGCTTTGTTAGTACCTTCTAGCACAATGTAAACTAGCCCACAGGAAGAAAGTTCCCTGGTCAGTTGGAGGTCGGCTTCTCTGTGTTCTGTCATCATGGCGGGTAGCATCTTCAGCATTAAGGTCTTAGTTGTGATGGGCAACCAAGGACAATGACAGTAGCCTGTATTATTTTGGGTTCCTCAGGGCCTCCATGCTTGTTACTGAGAATTACTTTAAGTAACTGACATCTTCTGAAAGCACTGTTATCCACCAATGGGGATACCTCTAATATAGCTCCCATTTTCATATTGTAGGCTGATTAGCTTACAAACAAGGAGATTTCCCTAAGACTTCTATACACCCTTAGTTTTGGTTAACTAACACCTTACCCTGCTCCGTCCCATCTACCTACGTTGTTTTATTCTTAAAACAGATGTCAAATGTGGTCACAAGAAGAAAGAGGAAAAGCTGAGGGAAACAACAAAGGTTTATTTTACTCAGAATTCTGGAGAGATGGAGTGCTTGCACACCAAGAAGAGGGTCACATGGTAGGGAGAAGCAGGAGAGAAAGCTAAGCCAGTCAGGCTGAAGGGTAGAGTGAGGGAGTGTGATGGTGCAGTTTCCAAACAAAAGGTACCAGTGGGTTCTACCGGTGTCCCTAGGAGCTAGTTCTCAGAGATGGACAAGGACAACTTGTGTGGCCAATGCTACCTTTACAGAGGGGCATCTGACTACCTGGAAGGGATACTCAAAATTTACAAGACGGTGTAGCATGGCCCTTAATGAACATGTTTTTGTCAGACATAGAGCTGGATCCTCTTTGCAGAATACCATTTTACTAAAAAAAAAAAAAAAGGGGGGGGGGGGCATGTTAGACTGAACACAGGTCACTGTGGAAATTACCTGAATAAAAGATGAAGCATGCAGAGTCTCTATTTTGTTACTCTTCTGCTATGAAGCTGAATGGGGCCCATTCATCTATACACTGAAGATGTAATTCTGAAGACCTCAGAAAGTAGATGTTATCTGGAGATAGCATCTTTACAGCAGCTACAAAAGACAACTAAGTCAACAATAAGGTCACTGATGTGCTGAGTAATTTTATGTGAACTTGACACAAGTTTCAACTGAGACAGGAACCTCAACTGAGAAAATGCCTCCATGAGATCAGGCTGTAGGCAAGCATGTAGAGTATTTTCTTAATTAATGATTGATGGGGCAGGGCCCTGCCCACAGCAGGGCCGTCCCTGGACTGGTGTTCCTGGGTGTTATGAGAAAGCAGGCTGAGCAAGTTTTATGAGGAACAAACAAGCATCACTCCTCCACGGCCACTTTATCAGCGCTTGCCTTCAGATTCCTGCCCTGTTTGAGTTCCTGGCCTGGCTTCCTCCAGGGATGAACTGTGACGTGGAAGTGGAAGCTGAACAAACCTTCCCCTGCCCCTGTTGCTCTGGCCATCGTGTCTGCTCACAGCAGTGACAACCCTAACTAAGACAGGGAAGTTTAAATTCATCACGACTGAGGTGCTCGGTAGGGGAAGAAAGGAGTGTACAGAAGTGAGCACCAGGCAGACCCTGTGAAGACAGAGAGGTATCCAAGTCTGCTAACACTTGACCTTGCCTTCTGGGATGGAGATTATGAGAAAATGACCACCTCTGATCTGAGCAGCCATTCCCAGGGACTTGATGGAAGCTGAGAAAGGAAAATGGCGGCACTCTGCCTTCTTCTTTTTCCCTTTTATTCCATCTGGACCCCACGCCCACGGGATGGTTCCACTCACATTTAGGGTGACTCTTCTCCCCCAAAACCCTGCACATCATCTCTGCAAACATCCCCACAGACACATCCAGAGTTTACCGCATCCCTCTCCCAGGCCAATCTAAATGCAGGCAAGCTGGCCCAGAGAACAAGCATCACAGTGGTTTGGCCCAGCATCTTCAGGCCCGTGGTGAGGCAGCATGCTCTGGCAGGGATCTCCTGAAAGAGCAAAGCTGCCCAGATCATGGCCAGTAGGTGAGATGAAAAGGAGGATTCTGAGCTGGGCCCTGACTCACTGCAAGGGCCAGCCATCAGGAGACCTCCCCTAGGATCAGCATCACACCTGTCTGTGTGCATCACTCCATCTTGTCTCTGGCTCTCTGCTGCTCTTGCACATCTAGCACTGTGGTGTCTGTTGAGATTGTTTCACCCCTGGAAAGACAGTTGAGAGACTGGAAAGCAAATGAGACACACAGGAGTCGCTGTTTGAGATGGATTTACTGAAGTTTATTAGGAACAGTAGCTTTGTGATTACAGATATGGCGATACAAAGGAGAAACAAGTCATTGGGGCAGAGTTAGAGGCATTGTAGGAAGTCACAGCATGACCTACCTGGACTGTGTCTGCCACAGTCATGACTGAATGGTAACTGACAGAGAAGACCTTGGATTCATTCGCTTGCTTGGTGACCATCAAGTGTTGGCAGGATGATCACAACTATAGAAATGCCAGGTTGCAATGGCAATAAGCTCGGTTCATGGTGGTGACTCACAATCCCAACAGGAACAGACAGACAGACAGGCAGGCAGGCAGGCAGACAGACTCACCTCTATCAGTTAGCTACAGCAGAAACTCAGAGGCCAGCAGTCATTCTAGCAGCAGCACTTCTTGCAGCCACACTTCTGCTGGCAGCAGCACTTCTGCTGGCAACAGCCCTTCCCACAGCCACAGCCACAGGAGCCACAGCCACAGGAGCTGCAGCAGGTGCGGCGGCAGCAGCAGACCACAGGGGTGCAGCAGCCACAGCAGCCACAGCCGCCACAGCCACAGCCACAGCCACCACAGCCACAGCCGCCACAGCCACAGCCACCACAACCACAGCCGCCACAGCCACAGCCACAGCCACCACAGCCACAGCCGCCACAACCACAGCCACCACAGCCACAGCCACCACAGCCACAGCCACCACAACCTCCACAGCCACAGCAACCCATGGTGTCAGTAGAGAGGACTCAGGTGCAGTGAGGAGAGAGACTCAGGAGAGGAGAGGGAGACGTGATGCCTCCTTCTGCTGAGGGAGCCCCTTATGTACCAGTCTAGGAGGATGGTAGTGGTGTGACTCAAGACACATGACAATAGATACTTCCTCATTCTTATTTATTCTAGGGTTCAAAAACACCATGGAGTCATTTTTCAGCTATATCCTTACTAGAAACATTTGGTTTAATAAAAGAACTAAATTGTGAAGTTCCCATTTACATGCTAAGACCCAGACCTTGTAGAGTTGTATTTGTGTGAATGAACGGCAGATGCCCTCAAACTTGGTATGATATGGGGAGAAGAAATCACGGAAGGCTAGAAGTGAGAGAAAAGAATAACTCAGCATATGTGCATTGTCTCCTTCTAAGAAAACTCTCTCAATTAAAAGTGGGCCCCTAAGCACTTCCTCGGTCTCACATGGAATGGAGAAGCCTTGGCTGGGGAATACTGTGGAGTAGTGACCATACTGATGATCCTGGGCATCAAATATGCCAAGGGCCAAAGTGGAAAAAGAAAAATGATGAAGGAATTCGGAGTTTAGGGCAGCCAGTCAGGGATAGGACTCAGTCAGAGATGCAGCCCATCCTCCAAGGCACTGGCATCACCAGAGAGAGCCAGCTGGTGGCTGTGTCTGATCAACCAAGAGGCTTTGGGTCTTGAGTTGGGCCCAGAACAGGTTCTACTACTGTGAGGCACTTAGCTTACTCCATTCTATTCACAAACTGCCTAGGTCCTTGTTTCATAAATGTCTACCATAGGCTGGCAAATTGACCAGAAGAAAGAGTATATATTACTCACAGGAAATGATTGCCACCTCTACACACATCATGGAAAGCACACATCCTCCCAACAGTCAGTGCATGTAAACACCATTCATTGCATCATCCGTACCTGGTAAACTTATTTGCAAAGACAAAGATAGTATTGTAGATAGATGGAACAAAAGTATTATAATTATGAAAAGCATGCACAAGTGAACTTTATTACATGGTGTCCCAAACAGAGTTGCCTTTGACTATTGACTAAATGGTATTCTTCCAAAATGTGAAACTCAGTCTGAATACTGTGCCTTTAAAGAGATAATTAAAATTAAATAAGATCATTCACATGGGACCCTAATATGATAGAGCTGGTGTCATCTTAAGAGGAAGAAAAAGAAACACTAACGCTCTCTTCATGTGCACAGGAAAGATCACATGATAACACAGCAAGAAGGAACTATCTACAATGCTAGAGGAAGCCCCACCAGACACCAACCCCAGTGGTACCTTATCTGGGACTTCCAACTTCTGGAACTGTAAGGAAATGCATTTCTATAGTTTAAGCCCCACCCCCTCATTCTGCTGCCTTCTGTTTTAGCAGCCCAACCTCACTAGTTTCTCTTACTATGATCTGTTGTTGGTTGGTCTTTGGTCTTTTTCGGGGGCCCGCCACCCAACTCCAAAATAAATCACACACAGAGGCTTATTCTTAAGTATAAATGTCCAGCCTTAGCTTGGCTTGTTCTAGCCAGCTTTACTTAAATTAGCCCATTTGTCATTTGCCCCTGGGCTTTTCCTTTTCTCTTCCTGTATACCTTTCTTTATAGCTCACTCTGTGGCTTGCTGTGTAGCTGGGTGGCTGGCCCCTGATTCCTCTTCCTTCTCTGGCTCCTTCCTTCTTTTCTCCTCTTCCAGATTTCTCCTTCCATATATTCTTTCTGCCTGCCAGCCCCACCTATCCTTTCTCCTGCCTTGCTATTGGCCATTCAGTTCCTTATTAGACCACTGGGTGTTTTAGACAGGCACAGTAACACAGCTTCACAGAGTTAAACAAATGCAACATAAACAAAGGAACATACCTTAAAATACTATTCCTCAACAATGATCCTAAAGATTAAGTCTTGACTATTAACAATAGTGGAGAGGATGCCTGAGCTGGCTTACCCTGGTAATCAGATTGGTGAATACCCTAACTGTCATCACAGAGCCCTCATCCAGTAACTGATGGAAGCAGAAGCAGAGATCCACAGCCATGCACCAGGCTGAGCTCCAGGAGGCCAGTCCAAGAGAGGAAAAAGGGATTCTCTGAGCAAGGGGCATCAAGATCATGATGGGGAAACATACAGAGACAACCAAATCAAGCTAGTGGGAACTCATTAACTTTAGACCAACAACTGTAGAGCCTCCATGGGACTGGACTAGGCCCTCTGCATAATCTGGACAGTTGTGTAGCTTGATTTGCTTAAGGGGCTCCCTGGCAGTAGAATCAGGATCCATCCCTGGTCCATGAGCTGGTTTTTTGGAGCCCATTAGTTATGGTGGGATACCTTGCACAGCCTTGTTGCAGGGGGAGGGGCTTGGACCTGCCTCAACTCAATGTACCAGGTTTGCTGACTCCCCATGGGAGGCCTTACTACTTTGGAAGAAGGAAAAGGGGTAGGTTCGGGAGGGAAAGGCTAGGGAGGAGGAAGAGATGGGTATCTGTGGTTGATATGTAAAATGAATAAAAATTTCTTAATGAAGAAAAAAGATTGTCTTGATTTATATTATGAAGAAATCTCAAGAAATGCCAAACTTTTGATTGTATTCTAAAATCAATATATTATATCAAGAAGAAAAATATGAGTCCATACTGGAAGACTGTTTTTTTTAAAAAAAAAATCTGACTGATTCTTTTAATTCTTCTCCTTTTAAAGATTAATTTTATTTTTAATTTTTTTTTTTTTTTTTTTTTTTTTTTTTTTTTTTTTTTTTTTTTTTTGGTTTTTCGAGACAGGGTTTCTCTGTGTAGCTTTGCGCCTTTCCTAGAACTCACTTGGTAGTCCAGGCTGGCCTCGAACTCACAGAGATCCGCCTGGCTCTGCCTCCCGAGTGCTGGGATTAAAGGCGTGCGCCACCATCACCCGGCCCTTATTTTTAATTTTTAAGTGTGTGCATGTGCGCGCACATTTGTGTGTGTGTGTGTGTGTGTGTGTGTGTGTGTGTGTGTGTGTGTGTGTGTGTGTGTATAGATGAGTGTAGGTACCCATAGAGGCCAAATGCACTATTTGGCCCCCAAGTGGGAGTTACAGGTAGTAGTAAGCAGCCAATTGTGAGTGCTGGGAACTGAACTCTGGTCCTCTGCAAAAGCAATATGTGCTTTTAATTGATGAGTGATTTCTTCAGCCCCTGTTTTAATGACACATTAGCAAAAGACACTTCTTATAATATCTGGTGCAATGGAGTCAACAAAATATAAAATGGTCCATAAATTTAAGTAAATAACAGAAAAATATAAATTCAACAAAGAATACAAGACTATTGATGACCAAAATGTTAAGAACCAAGTTTCTAAAGCATTTAGAAATAAATGAAATGATTGAGTGTATAAACTAAATGTTAGGTTAAAAAGATGATTAGACATTCACAGAGAGAAATGAGTGGCAAAGAATAGAGTTTAACCATTGTTTTCACAAACACCTGATTAAAGTTAAGAAAAAAAGAATATACAGAGAATGGAAAAGATACAACATTTAAAGATAAAGGCTGGTAGATTCTATAATGATAAAGACATCTGTTCTCAGATTTAAGAATCTCAATAAATGCCCAGTTCAATAAAATCAAGTCAATTCAAATTACAAATTTTGTAGTGAAACTGAAGAACACACACACACACACACACACACACACACACACACACACACACACACACACAAATGTTAAAAAAAACCAGCCAGAAAGAAAATAGAAGGTTTCTTCACAAAAGATGATCACAGAGCAAAGACGGATGTCTCAGGGGAAGAGAAATCAGAAGGGGAAAGTCAAACTGGAATTGAATCCAAAAGACACCCCTCTTTCAAGGTTTGAGGGGGAGGTTTTGGACAAATGAAGGGAAGCACTCACCACAAGCAGATCTCTGTGAGGGATTTCCTTAGAGTGTGTTCAGGAAGAAGGAAACATCCTCCGGAAGGTGTAACACTCTGAGAAGAAACGTGCTGAGAAATGTGCTGAGTGGGCAAGGACTGATCGGAAGTGCACGACTGTTCGAAACAACCCTTAGCCATGGTGTTTTGAGAAAAGCCTGTGACACTGGCCAAGGGCACAATTTAAGTTGGATAAGAAGTGACCCGAGGGAGAGCATCCTGAGGTCTCTGGCCCAGACTTGCACATCTTCTGAGATGTCTAATTTTTAGATCAGAGACAGCACAGCACAAACTTTGAGGTCTGGAACTGTGGTCAGTCATGACAAAAATGGGCAATTTGGAGGGCCTAAGCATAGATATTCTGCATGAAACTGCAAATCCAGGCCGTACTGAAGACAATCCAGGCCGTACTGAAGACGGCCTCACTAAGTTCAGACCCTTTCCTAGGAACTTATTGAGTACTTGATACAAAACAGACATGAGTCCAGGTCTTGCAATTAGCTTATTTTTAATCAAGAGACTTAGAAGGACACCCCTCAATTTTATAATGTACATTACACAGAAATTACCCAATTTAGGGAAGGAGAGATGGCTCCGGGCTTCTTTGCAGAGGAGTGGGTGGGGTGTCAGTTTCCAGCACCTATGGCCAGCAGCTCACAGTTGTGTATTTCTCACTCCAGAGGATTCAGTGCCCTCTTCTGTCCTCCGTAGACACACACACACACACACACACACACACACACACACACACACTCACTCACACTAACCAACTCTCTTTGCTACCCAAAGCATCATTTCTGCTCAATTTAATCGTGACCCCCAGACAGGAATGGACATTTCTTGCTTTTATTTAATGCACAGGGACATTCTCTGCTTCCATAATAACAGTCAATAGGACATTCATCATATTAGAATGTACATGAAATTCAACCGAATGCCCAAATTTCCACTTCTTGGTACCCTGTGTTGGTAGACACATCTCTAAGCCCTTCTTTATAGCTTTATAGCCAACGGATTATTTGGAAAACTAGAATGACATGACGGGGTATGAAGGCTGTAAACTACTGATGT